GAGGATAATGGAGTAAAAATAACCTGGGTACTGTTGTTAAGGAAAGACAGAAATGAGTCCTGGGCAGAACTGACAGATATCCACTACACTGCAATCCTCATCTTAACCTCTTAGCTGCATTTGATACAGCTAACCACCCCTCTCTTCCTCTCTCTTTCATCACATTAAAAAAATATATATAGCTTCTATAACAATATATGCTCTTAGTTCTTTTCCTCTACCTGTAGCTTCTTCTTCCTAGCTTTATTTTGGTTCTTCAGTAAATGTTGGAGTCCCTCACAGCTCAATCCTTGGCTATTTTCTCTTTTTATTCTGTACTGGGACCCTAGGCAAATATGTTCATTCACAAGTTTCAAATATCATCCATAAGACAAATATTTTTCAAATATGTGTCTTAGACTCAGACACCTCCTTAAAGGTTTAGACCTGTATATTCAACTGCCTACTTGCAATTCACAGAACGCCTCATGGGCACCTTGAACTTTGCTTTTCAAAACTGAACTCTTGATCTTCCTTCAAAAGCAAGATCCCCAACCACTGTATCCTAACAAATAAATGGTACTGTAAATTGAAGTTCTTCCTTAACTCCTCTCCCTCATTCTCTTCCCCTTGTAATGCTTCACTTGATTTGTCATTTTCCTTCTAAATATTTTGTAAATTAAGCACTTCTCTCCATGGCTATTGTCATAGCTCCATTCTAGGCCACTATTGTCTCCTGCTTTGACTACTACTTTGCAATTTGTAAACCTCATAACAGCTTTACTTCCACTCTTCCCTCTCTCCAGTCCATTCTCCACAGAACAACCAGAAAGGTCATATTAAAATGTAAATTTGACTGTTCAGGCCAGGCTCAGTAGCTCACACCTGCAATCCCAACACTCTGGGAAGCCAAGGTGGAAGGACAGATTGAGGTCAGGAGTTGGTGGTGCACCTGTAGTTCCAGCTTCTCAGGAGTCTGGGACAGGATGATCACTTGATCCTGGGAGTTCAAGGCTGCAGTGAGGCATGATTGCACCACTGCACTCCAGTTTGGGTGACAGAGCAAGACTTGCCTCTTAAAAAAAACAAATAGACTATTTATCCTACACAAAATCCTTCAGAGGCTTCCCATGCATTTAGGGTAAGGTGGTTAATTTTGTTATAAGCCAAAATGTTCCCTATTATGTGATCTCATCTATCAACTGCCCTCCCCCATTATGTATATGCCACAGTGGACTTGTCTAAGTTGCTTGAACATGTCACAAGCCCTTTCCACCTCTGGATTTACATACATAATCTTCTCTCTAATCATAAACCTCTCCTCATTATTTGTGTTATTTTGGTTTAAATATTACTTCAGAGAGACTTTTCAGGCTTCATATCTTCAATCTAAATTAGATTTTCTTATGGCATTTTTTCATAGTTCTCTATATTTTTCTTTAGAGCAATTGTCTTAGATAGACTCGAAGGTGGAGATTTGTGTGAAGGAGCTTTATTAGGAAGTGCTTTTGGGAACAACACTGATAAGAAAGCAGTAAGTGAAGGAAGCAGAACTGGGTAGAAGGGGAAGTGAAACTGCGGATACAATAGGGACCTTAGCCAATCTCATAAGAAGCAGTGGAGCTTCAGAGGTGTCTTAATTTCAGGTAAGGGGACCAGGTCTTTGTAATTCCCACAAACCACTCACTGTGTACAAGAGCTCTCACTGTGGCCCAGCGCAGTGGCTCACACCTGCAATCCCAATACTTTGGGAGGCTGAGGCAGGCCGATCATGAGGTTAGGAGATTAAGACCATCCTGGCCAACATAGTGAAACCCTGTCTCTACAAAAATTAGCTGGGCGTGGTGGCAGGTGCCTGTAATCCCAGCTACTCAGGGGGCTAAGGCAGAAGAATCGCTTGAATCCGGGAGGTGGAGGTTGCAGTAAGTCGAGATTGCACCATTGTACCCCAGCCTGGGCAACAAGAGCGAAACTTCATTTCAAAAACAAACAAAAAAAAGCTCTCACTGTGTACAAGAGCTTCCTTTAGCCAAGAGCAATTCCCAAAGAAGGACTCAGAATGAGCCATTAGTAACTTTACTCACCTAGGCTTGAATAACATTCCCATCTGTACTGTGAATGATGATGAGAATGCATTTGGAAAATTTTGGAGAGTTGGCTAGTAACTGATACATGTAGCAGTTGGGGAGCTGAGTGCCTATGAACTGAAGGCATGATCTAAGTAGATGGTGGGTGTACTACAACAATTAACACACCTTATGACTAAATACTTATTTTCATCATTATTTAGTTTCAAACATCCTCCGCCAAGCTGTGAGCTCCATGAAGGTGTGTCTGTTTTGTTCACTATTTCCCTCAAATTCCTAAGGAATGGCTGTCACATGTGAGGTGCTAGATAAATTATTATGAAAGGAAAGGAGCTTAAATTGCATCCAGATAAATTTGTAGAGTTACTGACAGACTTTAAACAGGATTTATATTCCACATCAGCAGTCTCATAGTTCTCTGTCCTTGAGAAATTGATCTCATTTTTAAAAAATCATTCTAGCTCTATTGTTGAAAGTGGAAGATGAGCAGAGCCTCAGTAGAGATTGGGAGATCAGTTAGGAGACTGATTCAGTCAGGAGACTGATTCAGTCATCAAAGTGGAATGGAATGAGGAATGGGACAGGGTAGAGAGAGGAGCAGAGAAGGTTGAACCTGGAGTAGAGTGAGGAAAGCCCAGCTAAGCAGCACAGAGAGAACCAGCAGAGGGAAACAAATTCAAGGAAAATGGCTAGGAGACTAGCAAAGTCATATTCCTAAAGGATATTAGGAAAATGAAGGCCAAGGGGAAGCAAACAGATGTCACTGTAAAGAAGTCATAGATGAGCTGGCATGGTGGCTGATGCCTGTAATTCCAGTACTTTGGGAGGCCAAGGCAGGTGGATCATGAGATCAGGAGTTCAAGACCAGCCTGGCCAAGATGGTGAAACCCTGTCTCTACTAAAAAAAAATTTGTGGGGGGGGGGGGGGGGGGCCTTTAATCCACCCTTTTGGGGGGGTCAGGGCAAGAAATTGCTTAAAACCGGGAAAAAGGGCCAAGACTCCATTTCAAAAAAAAAAAAAAAAGAAGTCATAGATGGCCTTGTAATACACTGTCTTGGTCAAACCGGAGGGCACAGTTTTTCACCACTTACATGTGGAAAAAACCCCAAAAATTCACATTTAATTTTTAATTGAAACTGTCTTTTTTTCCTATGAAGAACAAATAGTATTAAACTGAATAATTTTTTCTGGTTTTATATACTTTAAAATACTTGATATATACCTCTTCTATATTTTATTTCACATTTTGCTTTGAATTATCTTATACTATAAAACTATTGGCATGCAAGGTACTGATTTTTATGTCTTCAACTCTGCTATAATGCCTACCACAAAGCCATGCTCATAGTAATATATGTTCAAATGAAAGAAAATTTTCAATTCCAACATTTTTTGTCTGCCTTAGAAATCTACTAAATTTTAATACTCTCTTCTGGGGGGGGAATCTTTGATTAACATTTGGTCCCATTTACAAACTTTGTTAAATACCTTTAAAAGCTTTAAATGGCGCTTATTCATTAAATATACTTGATTTTTAAAATATTTCACATATTCAGCAAATTCTCACTGAGCTGTAAATAACTCCTGTAAGTTAAATAAATTATACTTACAAATATGGATACATTATTTAAGCCATTTATTTACTGGTTAACAACTTAATAATATTTTCATAGTGTTCTACTTAATACCAGAAATGTAAACTCAGTTTAACATTTTAAACTGTAAGTCCAAAGCTAATTTGTTAAATATTCTAATATTCCAAATTATTGAATAAATGTTAGCTTAAATGTGTATTTAAGATGTAGATATTAAATTTTGATCAATCCGTATTGTATATTTAAGATCTATACCTTAAATCATTTAATCTTACATTCTAATGCAGCTCAGAGATGCAATGTGCAAACATATATTATGATATGTGACAAATGCTATGGAAAAAATAAAAGCACATAGGGGACAGAGAGTGATGGGGCACATATCAGACAGAGTTGTCAGAAAAGATGTTTTTGGTGTTATTTGAGAAAACAGTTAAGAATGAAGTGAATCGGTGGTACTGGAGAAAGATTTGGAAAAATGAGCTAGTGTAGAAAACACTATCCAGAAGCTTGCCTGGCAATTTCTGGGAAGACAAAGCAGCCACCTCTTTCTACCTCTCATAAATCACTGATTAACAGAAAGCAATGCCCAGCACACTCCCATTTCCCAAGCTGTCCAATTCCACATGATTCAGCATTGATATTGTAAAGAAAACCTGTCTATAATTTAATATTTGAGCCAAATCCTATATTTGAGCCAAAAGCGAATAGCTATTTTTAGGAGAGTGATTGAACCCAGAAATCTTTCATATGAGGAAGGAGTTCCTTTTGTACCAACTTCTCCTTCCTTCTTCTGTCACAATCTACCTTATCCTCCTCCTATTTCCAGCTCCTACAGCTTTTTACCTTCTGCCAGTACAAAAGAGGAGCCAATGTATCTCTTCTCAAGACCTAGTTACATTTAGGCATTGTGGATGCTTAAAAAAAAAAATTAAATCTGACATTAATGAAGAAAGCTAGCACAAACCCTCTTGGTCATTGCCAAGCTTTGGGAAGAGAAATATTTGTCTGGGATAGAAGAAGGTCTACTCCACTTGAATCCCAGACCAAGACTGAAGATGTGGGTCTGGTTCTCAAGACTGAGAAAATGGCAGGAGATTTTAAGGGACCATGTATTGCAAGCAAAATTGGCTACACTGACTTTCAAAGAATGTCCACCTTGCACTAGTTCATAATACAATTTAATTTTTGGGGGGGATCATACAGTTTGAAGTCCAACATTTTATACACATTAAACAATATTTGGTTGGGAAATTGTTGATCATTCAAAGAAAACCTTTCAAAAAACCTTATCCGGTTATTTGCGTTTTTTAAAAAAAAAAATCTTTACTCACCTAGGCTTGAATAACATTCCCGTCTGTACTGTGAATGATGATGAGAATGAATTTGGAACATTTTGGGGAGGTGGCCAGTCCAACCACTTAGAGAAGAACAGGATACCATTTTCCAAGTGCAGTTACCCTCCCAGCACTGCAGGCCAGGAGAGCCCTGTAAGAGGAGTGTCGCCAGCCCCAAACAGTGCCAAAGTGCCCCCACGGCCTCATTCTGGTGAGTTGAGTTAAAACTGATGAAATGTTTCCTTATGGCTCCAGCAAACAAGGGTGTGGGGAGTCCATATGATGCTAAAATAGCTGCAGTGATTTTTACACTGTCATAAAGTTTCCTCATTGTGTGAGACATAAATTTTTTTCACTCTTCTAATCTGATTTCAGTAGCACAATAATGTCAAAAATGTTATTACTATTAGTAGTAGTCATATCCAAGACATATTTGTTGTGGTTCTAGTCTCTAATCCCTGCAAAACCAGCTAAAATATGCCAGAAATGAATATTGATCCAAAGCTGTCCGGAAACTATGTCAGACAAAAACCAAGTCCAGAAAACACAATAGGAATGGCATTGTATGTTCACATTGTCCTCATGAGACTGTCATGTCCTTACGGTCAGGCCCTGTGTTATTGCTTCCCGTGTTTTTGTCATCCTTCCTTTCCCCCTAGGTCCAAGCACAGTGCCTGGTCCTTAGTAAACAATTAAATTAATTAATTTTTATTGAATTGAAGGAAAAATGTGTTAATCAAAAGTAAAATGTGGACAAAGCCAAAGGGCAAGGTAAAATAGAAGAAAGGAATTCTGTAAGGTAGAAATTATATCCAGTTCTTCTCTTTCTCTTGCCCTATACAATTTACATGCTATTACTAAAACTGTCAGGATATATGAAAATTATAATGGTATAATGTAAAATATATATATAAAGATAGCAGGAAGAGTGACCAATTATAGAGTACTCACTATGTGGAAATATACCATTCTAAGGTCTTCACACTTAAATCATTTCATCCTTTCAAGAATTTCCCTTCCCTCTCTTCCACTAAAGAGTCAAAGTCCACTTATTCTCCCTTCTTTCTCATGTCCCTTTTTATACTATAGAACCTAGAAATTTAGAAACTACATTTGCAAGAAAGAGGCCTTTGATAGGAATCAGGTGTCACCACCTGATAAGAATTCTAATACTAGATATAGGCTAAGGTCATCTTTTATCTATAAATTGATGTAAAGGGAAATTAAGTAAAACTTTAAGTGGTTTTAGGGTAACTTAGGAGGATTTAGTTATATGACTGAGTATGAAATGGGTAGGGTTGAGAGGCTGTTCAAAGAAAAAAGAAAATAAATAATGTAATTGTAATTCAGCACAAACCATCTTTCTGTTTAAAGGGCAAATAACACATATAAATTCTCTTTAATTAGAGAAAGTGTCATTTATGTGGACAGGAAACAGAGAAAAATATATCTTATACTAAAATATATACTTTTTAAATCACTAAAATCTGGTTTCTTTAACTCAGCATGATTATTTTAAGATTCATTCATGTGTTCTTATATCATCATCTTGGGCATAGAACTGGTTTTTAAATGCAAATACTTTATGTTATTGTAATGCCATTTTACTTGCAAATTTCCTAATATTTATAATCAAATTCCTGAATTGACCTTAATTTAAAGTCAGAAATACTCTCATCTATTTCAGCAATTGACACATATATCATGTGACATAAATTCTTTTTCTGTTTAATCTAAATACATTTTTTTGTCAATTTCATTTCAGAGCCCAGTAGAAAAATTAAAGAGTGCTTCAAAACTTCCAGTGAGAATCCTTTAGTAATTAAAAAGGTAAGGAACAGCTATTTACCATTATCTATTTAGTTTGACTTCTATCATTTCCTCTTCTTTTCTTTACAAACCTTTCTGAAAAGACACCATGTTTCACAATATTTTTATAGCTTTAGTACAGTCTAATTAGCATAATATAAGATACACATATTCAAAGTGCACAATTTAATGAGACAAATTTTGACAAATACACACCTGGGAAAATACCACTGCAATCGAGAGAATGCACATCCTCATCACCCCAAGTTTTGTTATGATTCTGGCCCTCCGACAGGCAAATGTTTGTCTGCTTTCTGTCACTAAAGATTAGCATAGAATTTTTTGAATTTTATATAAATAATAGTGAGTTCTCTTTCTAAAATCTGGTTTCTTTAACTCAGCATGATTATTTTAAGATTCATTCATGTTTTTATGTGCATCAATAGTTCATTCCTTTTTATTGCTGAGTAGTATTCAATTATATGGTTAGCCTATAATTTGTTGATCTATTTACCTGTTGGGGGCATTTAGGTTGTTCCCAATTTCTGGCAAAGATAATATGAACATTTGTGTACAAGTCTTTTTTGGATATATACTTTGTTTTCTCTTGGATAATACCTATGAATGAAATAACTGTGTCTTATAGTAGTTGTATGTTTAAGTTTCTGAGAAATAGACAAATTGTTTTCCAAAATGATTGTCCCATTTTACATTTCCACCAGCAGCATATGAGTTTTCTTTCCTCCACATCTTCCCCAAACTTAGAATGGTCAGTCTTTTTTATTTTTTAGCCAACCTAATAGGTATGTATTAGTATCTTATTATGTCTTATTATGGTTTTAATTTGCATTTTCATTATGAGATGCACATCTTTTCCAATTCTTAGTCACCATGCATATATCTTTTTATGGGAAATCTATTGTTAGATCTTTTGCCCACTTCTTAAATTGGGTTGTTGACCCTTTTTTTTTAATGACATTGTAAAAGTTCTTCATATATTCTAGATTAAACCTTTGCTACATGCATGTTTTTGCAAATATTTCCTTCTAGTTTTAGGTTTGCTCTTTTTACAATAAGTGTCTTTAAAAAATTTATAATTTTTCCATTATAGTTTCAGATCTGCATGCTGTTTATCTCTCTATTGTGCTTATTGCAATGGCTATAATCTCTAGTACAATGTTGAATAGAAGTGATGAGAACAGACATCCTTGCCTTGTACCTGATCATAGAAGGAAAGAATTCAGACTTTCATCATTAAGTATTATGTTAATTTACTTCATTCATAGATGACCTTTATATGGCTTAGAAAGTTCCTTTCCATTCCTAGTGTGCTGAGAGTTTTAACAGGAATGGGGAGCGATGTATTTTTCCAAATGCTGTTTCAGTATCTAGCTGAGATGATCATATAATTTTTTCTTTTACAGTCTGTTAATACTGGGAATTACATTGGCAAAATTTCATATTTGAACCAACCTTGCATTTCTGGTAGAAACCTCACTTGGTCATGATGTGTTATCCTTGTTATATATGAAAATTTCATAAAATATTTTTAGCATTCTTGTGTCTATATGAGAAAAATTTGTTTGTAGTTTTCTTATAATGTCTTTTTTCTGGTTTTAATATCAGCATAATGTTGGCTTTATAGAATAAGTTGGATATTCCTCTTTAATATCCTGGAAGATTTGATGTAAAATGGATATTACTTCTATCTTAAAAGTGCAGTAGAATATTAGGCTTGATATTTCCTTTGAGTCAAGATTTTTAACTACAAATTCAATTTCTTTTTCATAGATATAGGCTTATTTGGGTTGTCTATTTCCTCTTTTTTAAATTTTATTTATTTTATTTTATATACATATTTTATTGCACTTTAGGTTCTGGGGTACATGTGCAGAACATGCAGGATTGTTGCATAGGTAAATACATGGCAATATGGTTTGCTGCCTCCATCTCCCCCATCACCCATATCTGACATTTCTCCCCATGTTATCCCTCCCCAACTCCCTACCCCCTCCCAGTCCCTCCCCTAGTCCCCCACCCACAGACCCCAGTTTGTGATGCTTCCCTCCCTGTGTCCATCTGTTCTCATTGTTCAACATCTGTCTATGAGTGAGAACATGTGGTGTTTGATTTTCTGTTCTTGTGTCAGTTTTCTGAGAACGATGGTTTTCAGATTCATCCATGTCCCTACAAAGGACACAAACTCATCATTTTTTATGGCTGCATAGTACTCCATGGTGTATATGCACCACATTTTCCTTGTCCAGTCTATTATCAATGGGCATTTGGGTTGGTTCCAGGTCTCTGCTATTGTAAACAGTGCTGCAATGGTCACACATGTGCATGTGTTTTTATAATAGAATGACTTATAATAATTAGGATATATACCCTGTAATGGGATTGCTGGGTCAAATGGACTTTCTATTTATAGGTACTTGAGGAATCGTCACACTGTCTTCCACAATGATTGAACTAATTTATGTTCCCCCAACAGTGTAACAGTGGTCCTATTTCTCCACATCCTCTCCAGCAACTGTTGTCTCCAGATTTTTTTAATGACTGCCATCCTAACTGGCATGAGATGATACTTCAATATGATTTTGATTTGTATTTCTCTAATGACCAGTGATGATGAGCATTTTTTCATGTTTTTTGGCCTCATATATGTCTTCTTTTGAAAAGTGTCTGTTCATGTACTTCACCCACATTTGAATGGATTTGTTAGTTTTTTTTTTTTTTTTCCCTTGTAAATCTGTTTTAGTGCTTTGTAGATTCTGGATATTAGCCCTTTGTCAGATGGGTAGATTACAAAATTTTTTTCCCATTCTGTTGGTTGCCGGTTTACTCTAATGATTGTTTCTTTTGTTGTACAGAAGCTCTGGAGTTTAATTAGATCCCGTTTGTCTATTTTGGCTATTGTTGCCAATGCTCTTGGTGTTTTAGTCATGAAGTCCTTGCCTATGCCTATGTCCTGAATGGGTATGCCTAGGTTTTCTTCTAAGGTTTCAAATGGTGTTAGGTTTTATGTTTAAGTCTTTAATCCATCTAGAGTTAATTTTAGTGTAAGGTGTCAGGAATGGGTCCGGTTTCTGCTTTCTGCATGTGGTTAGCCAGTTTTCCCAACACCATTTATTAAACAGGGAATCCTTTCCCCATTGCTTGTTTTTGTGAGGTTTGTCAAAGATCAGATGGTTGTAGATGTGTGGCATTGCCTCCAAGGCCTCTGTTCTCTTCCATTGGTCTATATCTCTGTTTTGCTACCAATACCATGCTGTTTTGATTACTTTAGCTTTGTAGTATAGTTTGAAGTCAGGTAGCATGATGCCTCCAGCCTGTTCTTTTTGCTTAGATTTGACTTGGCTATGTGGTCTCTCTTTTGGTTCCATATGAAGTTTAAGGTGGTTTTTTCCAGTTCTGTGAAGAGGGTCATAGGTAGCTTGATGGGGATAGCACTGAATCTATAAATTACTTTGGGCAGTTTGGCGATTTTCACAGTATTGATTCTTCCTAACCATGAGCATGGAATGATTTTCCATCTGTTTGTGTCCTCTCTTATTTCCTTGAGCAGTGGTTTGTAGTTCTCCTTAAAGAGGTCCTTTACATCCTTTGTCAGTTGTATTCCTAAGTATTTTATTCTCTTTGTAGCTGAATGGCAGGTTGTTCTTGATTTGGCTCTCTTTACATCTGTTATTGGTGTATAGGAATGCTTGTTATTCTGCTCATTGATTTTGTATCCTGAGACATTGCTGAAGTTGCTTATCAGATTCAGGAGATTTTGGGCTGAGATGATGGGGTCTTCTAAATATACAATCATATCATCTGTAAATAGAGACAATTTGACTTCCTCCTTTCCTAATTGAGGAATTGACTTCCTCCTTTCCTATTTCTTTTTCTTGTCTGTTTGCTCTGGCTAGAGCTTCCAATACTATATTGAATAGGAGTGGTGACAGAGGGCATCCTTGTCTAGTGCCTGATTTCAAAGGGAATGCTTCCAGTTTTTGCCCATTCAGTATGATATTGGCTGTAGGTTTGTCATAAATAGCTTTTATTAGTTTGACATATATTCCTTTGATACCTAGTTTATTGCATTTTTAGCATAAAGTGCTGTTGAATTTTGTCGAAGGCCTTCTCTGTATCTATTGAGATAATCATGTGGTTTTTGTCTTTTGTTCTGTTTATGTGGTGAATTATGTTTATAGACTTGGGTATGTTGAACCAGCCTTGCATTCCTGGGATGAAGCCTACTTGATCGTGATGGATAACGTTTTTGATGTGCTGTTGCAATCAGCTAGTCAGTATTTAATTGAAGATTTTTGCATCTATGTTCATCATGGATATTGGCCTGAAGTTTTCTTTTCTTGTTGAGTCTCTGCTGGGTTTTGGTATCAGGATGATGTTGGTCTCATAAAATGATTTGGGAGGGATTCCCTCTTTTTGGATTGTTTGGAATAGTTTCAGAAGGAATGGTACCAGCTCCTCTTTGTACGTCTGGTAGAATTCAGCTGTGAGCCCATCTGAACCTGGGCTTTTTTTGGTTGGTAGGCTATTAATTGCTGCCTCAACTTCAGCCCTTGTTATTGGTCTATTCAGGGTTTCAACTTCTTCCTGGTTTAGTCTTGGGAGGGTGCAAGTGTCTAGGAATTTATCCATTTCTTCCAAGTTTACTGGTTTATGAGCACAGAGTTGTTTGTAGTAATCTCTGATGGTAGTTTGTATTTCTGTAGAATCTGTGGTGATATCCCCTTTATCATTTCTTATTGCAACTATTTGATTCTTCTTTCTTTTCTTTTTTATTAATCTGGCTAGCAGTCTGTCTATTTTGTTGATATTTTCAAAAAACCAGCTTCTGGATTTATTGATTTTTTTGAAGGATCTTTTTGTGTCTCTATCTCCTTCAGTTCTCCTCTGATCTTAGTTATTTCTTGTCTTCTGTTAGCTTTTGAGTTTTTTTCATCTTGCTCCTCTAGCTCTATCAATTTTGATGATAGAGTTTTGATTTTAGATCTTTCCTTGCTTCTCAT